CCTCTCCGCCCTCAGGGTGCTGATAGAGGAGACCAAGAAGGAGCTGAAGGACTACGTGGATGAGCTGGAGAAGCAGCTGGGCCCCGCCACCCAGGAGACGAGCGCCCGCCTGTCCAAGGAGCTGCAGGCGGCGCAGGCCCGGCTGGAGACGGACATGGAGGACGTGCGCTCGCGCCTGACGCAGTACCGCAGCGACGTGAAGACCATGCTGGGCCACAACGCCGAGGAAGCGCGGAGCCGCCTGTCCTCCCAGCTGCGCAAGCTGCGCAAACGGCTGCTCCGAGACGCCGACGACATGCAGAAGCAGCTGGCCATGTACCAGGCCCTGGCCCGCGAGGGCACGGAGCGCGGGGTGGGCACCATCCGCGAGCACTTCCTCCCGCTGGTGCAGCAGGGCCACTTGCGCGCCGCCACCGCCCGCCAGCAGGCGCTGGAGCGGGCCGAAGCCTGGGGCCAGCGCTTCCGAGGAAGGCTGGAGCTGGTGGGCAACCAGGCCCGCGAAAGCCTCGACAACTTACGCGATCAGATGGAGGAGCTGCAGTCCAAGGTGGAGGAGCAGGCCAGCCAGATGCGCCTGCAGGCCGAGGCCTTCCAGATCCGCTTCAAGAACTGGTTCCAGCCCCTGGTGCAAGACATGCAGCGCCAGTGGGCCGGGCTGGTGGCGAAGGTGCAGTCCTTGGGCACCAAGCCCACCCTGGAGCCCACCCCGGCGCCCACCGAGAATCACTGAGCGCTTGCCATGCCGCCTGGTGGACCCCACTCCNTTGCCGCTGCTGCCCCCAGCCTGCAGGGGGCCTTGTCCCTGCCCCCCAGTGGGCCCTGGCTTAATAAACATTCCTTAGACTTCACAGGGCCTCTGAGTGTGATTTCTCACAGCCCCACCCTGTTTCTCCTTCCCCACACACGGTTCTCCGTCCTGTCCCCTCTGACTGTGTCTGTCCCCTCTTTTACCTCTCAGTCTGCTTCCTCCTGTCCCTTTCTGAGGTTTTCCCCTTTCTGTGCCTCTGCTTCTCTCTGCCGCTCACTCTCTCTCCTCTGCCTCTTTCCATTCTGTCCCTGAGACATGGTTCTGGAACAAATTCACCCTGGGTTACATCCTGAAGTCACCCCTCGCTACCGTGGGCAGAGCAACCTCTGTGAGGGTGGGTTTGCCCGGTGTACCTGCTCCACAGAGTTGTCCGGCTCCGAGAGACCTGAGGCCACTGCTGTTACTAAGCCATTTTATTTCGGCCGCTCACTGTCCCCTCTGTCCGTCCAGCCTCACCTGATGCTGCCTCCTTCCCTCTCCCCGCCTCTGTCTGCCCTACTACGAGAGGCTTCCTTTTCCTGGCTTCCTGTTTTCCTCGCCCCTCTTTTCTCCCTCTTCCCTCGGGTCTCTCTTGCCCCAGCCCAGCTTCTTTGTTTTCCCCGCTCCTGTCCTCTCCCCCACTCTGCTTCATGTCAGCCCTCTGCCTTTCCCCTTCCCTCTTGGTCCACAAGGCCCTTCATTCAGCTGTGTTTCCTGTCCCCAATCCTCATTCCTGTTCCTTCTTGAAACCGGACACAGTGGGCCCGGGGCTGCCTGTCATTACTTCGGCCAATTAAGCAGAGACAAGGTTGAAATATATATGAGCGTTTATTCCGATAATGCCCGCAGTATGGAAGAGGAGGAGTGTCACCCGCTGAAAATCTGCTTCACCTCCCTCCCCCCATAAGCCAGCTGCTTATAGGGTAGGACGGAGGTTACCTGGGGAAGTGGGCAAAGGGATTAAGAATGGGCATGATGTAACAGGTTACAGGAAATGTGGGCTGGGGGTTGCGAAGGGTGGGGCCCCTTCGGGCCCCTTTGTTCCGGCAACAAGGTGGTTAATCTCTGCAGGATGAGAGGCAGTTAAGGGGAATGGACCACATTCCAAATGTCCTGGAGTGTAAAACTGTCAGCCAGGTTAGAATGTATTTTCTCTAATCAGAACAGAGCAATCATGGTTAACAGAACAGGATTAATATTTCTTATAACTATAGCTAAAATCATGGTTATCAGAGAATGGTTAACATTTCTGCCCCTAACATTCTCTCCTGGTCGCTGGGTCCTGGCTAGAGAGAGAAGGGAGAGGAACCTCTCGTGAGGATCTGCACCGCCCGCCCCCCCGCCAGTCCGGGGTGGGGAGATTGAGTTGGGAGTTGACAGGAATGAGGGTTAAAGCCCCGGATGGAGCCCTAGGTGCTCTCCTCTCCCACCCCCTCGGTTCTCAGAGGGGAGCAGGGTCCCCACCACAGGTGACAGGCCAGGGCTTAAGCTTGTGTCTCTGCAGGGGTCCTTAATTTCTCCACTCACCCAGGGCTGACCCAGAGCTGATGGAGGAGGGAAAGGGTCTGTGGGCTCAGAGGCAGGGGGCCTCACCCCAGCCAAGCCTACTGCTGATGTACTATGGGGATGAACCCTCTCAGGGCCTCAGTTTCCCCAGATGGCAATGAGGGAGGACGCATCAGTCTCCCACTTGAAGAGATGAATTTTGAATTCTCATGCATGAAGACATCTGAGCAGGGATGGATTCGACTCCCCGCAGCCCCAGTCCTAAGCGGTGGGAGAGGGGCTGGGAAGGAGCTTTGAGAAACAGGCTGGCAGGCAGTGCTGTGGGCGGAGACTGGCCCCAGCAGGGATCTGGAGAAACAGCCTGGAGTTTGGGGAGAAGAGGGACAAAGAGCACCCCCACACTTAGCCCCTCACTGAGCCTTTGAATGTTCTTGGCTGAGCCTCAGTTTCCCCATCTGTAACCGAACACCCCCATAGCTGCTGTGGGGATGAGACTGAAAATACAGTTTTTCTATTCTTGTGGGGCCGGAAAAGGATAGCAGCAGACATTGGGGGTGACTGTCTGGGGAATGCTGGGCTCACGAGGAAAGCAGATGCCCAGGAAGTCACTGGTGGCTGACAAGGACTGGAAGCTGCTGAGCTGGCCAGCGGGGTGTTGCAATCTTGCCAGGGTCGGTTCTCAGAGTCTCTTTTACAACCATCCCCCCTCACCCCCAGGCTAACACGTGGTTGTGGGGGCCCAAGGCCAGCCAACCTAGAGTCTGGGGCCTAGGGCCACCCTCCCCTGAGCTGCCAGGGGTCACTGACGGTCAAAGGCAGCTGAGAAGGGAAGAGGCGTTGGACTCCAGCCCTGGGGATGGATGCAGTGCTGAGAGGGGAGACAGTGGGGCTTGGTGCCAGGGGGTCCTGAGAGGGTGAAGGAGAGCAGAGGGGGGTTGTCCAGGGGCCCCTCGGAGGCCTGGAAAGTGGTGTGGCAAAGGAAGGGCGTGGCGGCCTGGTGGAATGCATGGAGGGGCACACACCGGGAGCCTTGCCCTTACGGTTGTGTGGTTTAGACAGGCTGCAGAGACCACTCCCCCAGAGGGGGATTGGGGACTGTGAAGTTAAGACCCCAGAGAGGGCTGAGATATTGCCAGATGCAAGGAGCTGGGGAGCTGGAAGGGCTAGTCTGAAAATGAGAATGTAGGGGACGTGGGTGGATCCCAGGGACATGGGGCGAGAGTCCTTTGAGCTAAAGAGGCTAGAAGAGGCAGGGGATGGAAGAAGTGGCCTGTGGTCACAATGTGAACGGAGTTACTAAGTAACAGAGTTCCTGAGAGACCCCCTGTGTAAGCAGGAGGGGAGGGGCAAGGAGCCCAGGCTGAGGTCCCCAACAGACAGGGAGATTTGGAGGGAAGGGTAATGAACAACAAGAGGCTTCAGGCTAAGGGACTGGCCTGTGCCTCACCTGACCCCCACCCCCACCAGCCAGGGATGTTGGTGGAAAAGGTGGGTGGCCCAGGGAGGCAGGCACCCAGGAGGCTCAGGGGGAGGGAGATTAACCTGTCCCGCCCCCTCCCCAGATGATAAAGGCCAGGCCCAGCTGAGGCCAGGCTGGAACCTGCGACCCTTGCTGTCCAGCAGCTGATTCAGGTGGGTGCTCCGTGCCCCAGAGAGACCCTCGGGGGAGGGAGGAGGGAGGGGCACCCCTAACCCACCCCACGGCACCTCTGCCTCTACAGTATCCCTCTGACCCAGCCATGAGGCTCATCCTGTCGCTCCCGGTCCTGGTGGTGGCTCTGTTGATGCTTTTGGAAGGTAAAAGTGGGTGGGATAGGAGAATAGAGATTTGGGAGCCTGAAGCTGGCCATGGGCCTGGGGTCCAGGCTTAGAGGACCCTCGAGAGCTCTGGGGCCCCTCCTGTGTCCCGGTTCCCCTGTTGCCCACTGATCACTCCCACTATTTTGCCGGGCCAGGTGGATTCTCAGGGTTCTCTCAATGGAAGCCCAGCAGGTGGCAACACTCGGCAGCTGGAACACCATCTGGTTGCTCCAGTACCCTCCCCTCCCACTCTAACACCATGATCCCCAAGAATCATATTCAGGGGTCTCCTTTCCCGCCCCTGGAAGCTCATCCAAAGGGCTCCCAATACTGAAACTGTTGCACTCCCGCCCCTCCTCTGGGCAGGCCCAGCTCCGTCAGAGGCGGCCCCAAGCTTCCCGGAGAAGCTGAAGGAGTTTGGGAGCACGGTGAAAGACAAAGTCTTGGAAACCATTAAGCACATCAAACAGAGCGAGTTTCCTGAGAAGACCTGGTTAGGACCCTCCCCGGGGCATGGA